TGTAAGCTGTCCTAAGTAAAGTTAACTTTTGCAAGTGACTGGTGATTTTGTCAATGCCAATGGTGTTCATGTAGTGCTTCAGATGTTTTGGGACTGTACCCAAGGCCCTCATTACTATTGATATTATTTTTGCTTTCTTTTAACACAGTTGTATTACTTCTATTTGAAGCTCTTTGTATTTTGTGATTTTTTAAAATTCTTTTTCTTCTATTCTGCCGCTTCCATTATTATCATTATAATTTTATGAATAACTCAAAGTGGTAAAGATGTCTAATACTCCTTCTTTCTCCTATTTTTTCCATAACAACAACCCTTTGAAGTGAGCTGGGATAAAAAAGTCACTCAACCAGCTTTCATGTCTAAGATGAGACTCAACAGTCTCAGGACTAGAACCAGTGGTGAAATTCAATTTTTTTTACTATTGGTTCTGTGGGCGTGGCTTGGTGGGCGTGGCGTGGCGGGCATGGCAGGGGAAGGATACTGCAAAATCCCCATTCCCACCCCACTCCAGAGGAAGGATACTGCAAAATCCCCATTCCCTCCCCATTCCTGGGGGAAGGATATTGCAAAATCTCCATTCCCACCCCACTCTGGGGCCAGCCAGAGGTGGTGTTTGCTGGTTCTCTGAACTACTCAAAATTTCCGCTACCAATTCTCCAGAACCTGCTGAATTTTACCCCTGACTAGAACTTACGATCTTCTGGTTTCTAGCCTGATGCCTTAACCACCATACTAACTGGCTTTCTTTTAAAAGAATGCCTGTCTGGAAATATATTAAAAAGAAATAGGCATAACAAACTGTTCCAATATCATTTTAAAACAAAATCAATGTATGGAATCCTAGGGCTATGCAGCACTTTGGATGAGCTCTCCAAACGTTCCACTGGAGCACATGAGAAATGACTGCATAGTAGCACCATTTAGAGAAGGTGCTTCTCAGCCATGTTGTATGACATTATTTAAAATAATCTAATTTGGCAAAATATCAGCCAAAATATATCCTGCTTTAAGATCAATATTTAGGTTGATTCACATTAAACCATGATCTGCTCAAGCAGATCATTTTATTTAATGAATAAAACACAATTGATTGGATCATACAACGTGCTATGTCAAATGAACAAAACACATTAGTTTGTACCTCAATGGGTGAATCCAATCAATTTAAATTGCAATATTTACAGTCTTAAACAAACTCACAAGGAAGCGAGTTCCACTTTGAATGTACCTAGTTTGACTTACATTTTACTAAATATAGAGTAATGTTTCTCAACATTTGGTAAAACAAGTGCATGTAACATATTGACAAATATTGATTGTAAATGCTTTATTGTGCCACACCAAATACTTGATGAATGAATATTGTGCACCACTGTTATTTTAAAGGCCAAATTTAGTCACTCCCAAGTTCCTTAGTATGTGCCAGCTTAAGGAAACAAAGAAACCATTTTTACTATAATTTAAAAACTTGTCAATACTGAAGTATAAAACTATGTTTTACAGAGGTTTTTATAGCATTTATAGAAGTCACTTGGTGTCTATTGATAAGTAAGGGCTGGATGTCTGATCTATTCCTTCTATAGTCCACTATAAGCTCCTTGGTCTTATTGGTGTTAATAACTTGGTTCACTAATACTATTTCATTAATAGTGGCATAATTATAGCACTATTATACCTTACACTTTAAGTGTTGTCTATATATTCACAATAGATGTAATTATTTTCCCCAAAAGAAACAATGGTTTACTGCTTGCACTTAGGTTACTCCAAGTGATTTATATAAAATGGCTCTGGAGTAACTGGTCCTATTACATCAGATACTATTTAAATGTTACATTATAAATAATATGCTTGGCAATATATTAGGAAGCTAATTCAGGCTTGCATCTTGACCTTAATGAAGAACCCTTTTCCCCAAGCCATATGGTTAATATGTTTGAGAACAAGATATACCACAAGGGATATTATTCAACAATATAGCAATCTTCAAGGATAAATGAGACACTAAGCACAAAGGGGTTTTTTTTGTCTATACTATACTGAATAATACTGTACTATAGCAAAGCATAACAGAGATTTGAATTTTAGTGTGTGTAGAGAGAGGAAGGCAGAACAACTGACGCTATCAGTATTCAGAAATTTTTTTTAAGACTGGACTTGAACAGCCAAGGTTAAACAGCAGAATAAGATATAAGCAGTATAATATATTTGTTAGAATATAAAATGAATGCTTTCTACCAACAGTTTCTTCAAGTAAACCAGTGGCACTTTGTCAGCAGTGGTGGGCCTGACATACGTCACTGAGGAGAGTGCCACTAAATAGCAGTAAAGAGTTAAGGACTTTTATACCTCTCTGCTACTATTTAGTGGTCATCCAGATTTCTCTAGCCCTAATTCCACAGGCAGGACTTCCTAAAAGTGCTTTTTCAAGAAGCAACTGGACTTTCTTGTCCATAGATATCCACATGCTGGCATTTCAGAAGGACAATACAAGTAGTCCTTGACTTAAAGCACATCATTTAGTAACTGTTTGAAGTTACGTCTTTAAAAAGTGACTTATGTCCATTTTCATCCTTACAACTGTTGCAGCATTCCCATGGTCACGTGATCAAAATTCAGATACTTGGCAACTCATATTTATGACAATTGCAATGTCCTGGGGTCATGTGATTCCCTTTTGTGAGGTCCTTACAAGCCAAGTCAATGGGGAAGCCAAATTCACTTAAGTGATTCACTTAACAACTATGGCAAGAAAGGTTGTAAAATAAGGCAAAATTCACTTAACAAGTTAACGACAAATTTTAGGCTCAATTGTGGTTGTAAATTAAGAACTACTTGTAAATTCTTGCCAATCTTACTCTTCTTACACATGAGTACCCATATTTGCTTTCTTATACCAATTTTACAATGGAAAAAGTTTGTTCCACCTGAATGACTTTGAGTAACATATGCCATTTGCTTTAACTGACATTTCAGAAAGTCCATCTTTGGTGTAAACTTCTGTTCATTTGAAAAATAATGCTAATTTTCGAATGCAAAATTTAGCTCTTTGTTATGAAGTTAGTAATAAAGTTTACATTTTTATATTACATGTTTGATTCACATATAATATTAAGTCATAAAGTAGTTTGGTGTTGTATAGTATGTGAATTAACTTCTATAATTTGTAACCTATGGATTATTTCTTGGGATGGATTTGCATGTCATACTATCTCAAAAACAAATAAACCACACTGTAGAGTAGTCTTATGTAAAACCAGGCAAACTATCACTGAAGATTGTCATTAGAAACATAGAAAACTGACAACAGAAAAAGACCCAATGGTCCATCAACATTTTTGTTTGTGTTTTTTTTTATTTATTTACTTTTTAAAAAATTATTTGTATTATTGTTGTTAGTAGATTGACTCCCACTAGAAATCAGATTGGCCCGTTTTAGCTTTCATTTTTGGAGAGCCTTTGAAAGATGAATTGATATCACTCACTTAATCTTTACTTTTATTTTATACCTTTAAGTTTATATTATGGTAATTATATGTATTTGTATTGTAATTCATTGAATTGTTGATCAAAATATGTCTACTATTAAACGCCAAGAGACTGCAGTGAGGAGTGGTTTTATAAAACTAAACACTCAGTACATATGTTTTAATAAGTGCATTGCTGATACTTAAAATCAATCTGATTATAGTAATCCACAGACATGGCTACCCTGTTAAGACTGCCCATCCCAATAGGCAACGGTACCAGCTTCTGAGCTCATAACGATTTCTCTTTATTTCTTGACTACTGATTCAAGTGAGCTAATCCCGAAAAAGAGAAAGAGCCGATTGTTATAATTTCCTTAAAAAATGGTGGGAGGGAGAAACAGGCACCGGCTAATCTCGACTGTCCTAGCCAAGACGTCAATGACAAAAAATATCAACATCAGCAGCTGCTTCGTGGTTGGGATGGATTTATACCAGGCACTCATACAAAATGTGCAAACCGCAGTCGCGCACGGAACAGCCACCTCTTCTTCCAACTTCGCTTCTGATTCTTTTTTTAAAAAAAAACACTCCTCCTTCCCCTTTGAACATTTTTCGTTACGGCTACAAAAGGAAAGAGTAGAGCCTGTTCAGGAGATGGAATAGCCCGCAGGTGAAATAGGAAAGGCAGGGGGGGAAATCAGGGGTCAAGGGGACCTTTTGCAAAAGGGAGGCGAGGATCTGGCAACACTGGAGAAAGGGAAGGAGGGAAGAGTGTGAGAATGCAATCGTTGTCATGCTCGACTCCCTCCAGCCCTAATAATGGATGCAGGTCAGATTTTCTAATCTCTCTTGGAAAGCAAAGCATCTCGCGGTCGTTTTTGGAGTCCAGATCAATTGCTGACAGTACTAAATCCTTGGTCCAGCCAGTGCTTCTTCTTAAGACAATATCCATCTTAACATGGAATTGGGGGGAAGGGACGAAGGAACCGACTGTAGAAATGGAAGAAGAGAAAGGGAAGGACAGAAGGAAGCAATGGGCGGATGCATAAAACCAGGGAAAACGCGGAGCCATGATCTCGGCTCCCCTCCCTTGCTCCTTACCGCTTCCCGGGTTTGAATTTTTTCGACCTGGGCGCTTCCACCTCACTCCATTCAAGCTACGCGCTGCAGCTGCCGCTGTTACCGCAAGAGCCTCCCCGGCTCCCTCTTTCGGAGCACCGGAACGGAGTGAGGCAACGTGGGAGGGGTAGGGATAGAGGAGGCGGTCACGCTGGACTACAAGATGGCGGCCCCCGAAAAGAGGTCGCGCCGCCCCGCCTCCTCCCGCTTTGCGAGACAGCTATCCCGTAAGGAGCTCGCCAAACTGCTTCTGCCACCCGTTGGCTTTGAAACTACGATTCCCATCGTGCAACGGTGGGGCGGGAACAGCTCCTTCCATTCCTCCTCCCCCCTTGGAAACTCCCCTCATGCGAATATGAATCGCAGAGCACTATGGGGCTCGTAGTCCCTTAGGTTGGAGGCGCTCGTGTTGGTCTCCGCCGCCGATTTGGACTTCTTCGCAGTTGTTCTAGGGGGCGGGGCCTGAAGTTTGAGGGGCCTGGGGTCGCTGCGTCTCTGAAAAAGAGCTGGCGGAGGGAGGGCGGCTCTCGGTCTGCCTCGCGGTACTGGGGGGCGTTTGCCCCCCCCGCCTCCGACGGTTCCTGCCGCTGCTCTGCGAGAACCGGCCAAACAAGGCACGCGCGCCCCCGGATCAGCCTAATCCCCTCGGGTGGGTGATTCTGCTCTGGAGGAAGCCCTACGAGGCTCGATGGGACAGAGTTCCTGGTAAAATTTGCAGAAGGTAACACACACAAGTTAAAGTCGGGCCGGGTGTGAAGGAAAAGAGTCGGTGCAAAGTGGGAACAAACGAGGGTACGTGTGGAATAGGAAGGCGGGACGCCCAAAGTCACCTCCCCGCACAGTTCCTGTAAGAGGGAAAAGACGAAAACTTTCCTAGTTGCTTATTCTTCCGGCTGAATTAGTTTTGACTCAGTTGGGTGATTAAAGTTGTTGCGACAAAACTTTGGAGATGGAGTCTCGCAATGTTTATGTTGCTTCTCCAGGTGAAAGAGAAAAAGGGCTGCCTCTGCAAGAATCAAATACTCAAAAGGCTTTGAAGGTTCTACGTCCATAGTCCTTACTGGAAGGTTAGCGCTAGTATTGGTTAATGTTAAGATGCCTAGGATGATGAGATATCCTTGATCCTATATGCAGTTTGATTGCAAGTATTTTTTATTATACAGTAATCCACTTGATTGCATTGCATTTAGCCCAAATTATAGTCCAAACGTTTAAGCAGGAGTGGCAGTATATCTTTCTGTTATGGATTGAGCGTTTCACTGATTTGAATACTAATCTTAAACATCTAACTTACTTCTGCTTCACTCATTTCTCCCTATTTTCTGGTAGTTTGTATTTGTAATGGTTTTTTTATTTTTTTGGGGGGGGATGGGGTGAATAACTACTGGTATTAGAATTTGTTAAATTTAAATTTTATTGATGGCTATAATTTCTGACTATTTCTTTTGTTAGTTACCTAAAATGGATATAGTACAGATTGAGAACAGCTTTTATAATAAAATTAACATGTTCATCTTTAAGGCATACTTTTTTTCTTCTGTTCAATCATGTCTGATTCTCAGAAACTGCCCGGACAAGTCCTAGGTTTGAGTGAAAATGATAGCCCAAAGTCACCCAGCTACCTTTTCTGTCTAAGGCAGATCTCTTGGTTTCTAGCCTGGTGGCTTAACCATTAAGCTGGCTCTCAAGGCATATGTACACAATCCTTTTTTAATGGAAGAATTGGTGATCTTACAATATGGACAATATGGATATGTTGTAGTCAAAATAGAAAGTATGCATGTTGAGATTAAAAGTCATGCTTTCTAATATGGTACCCCTCCATTTTTTTATATACATATTGATGGTTTCCATCTATTCATTTACTCCCATCTTAGCTAATATTAAAACAACAACTTACAAAAAATCTTTGGCATTTGGAACGATGACTTAGGCATATGTGTGCAAACTCTGAGTTTAAAATCTTTCATATTTTTAAAGTCTTAGCGTATTCTTTTATCTTTGTTTAAAAGGAAATCCATTAACTGCAGGCCTCTTTGAGGAGAATATTACTGTGTTGTTTGTGTGATGAAAACAGGTCAATTGATGCAAAGAATTTTGGAAATGATTTTACTAGAGTTCATTTCTGAACATGTTATTTTATAAAATATGTTTATAGAAAGAAATAATACATTTTTTAAAAAATGGTTCTCAAATAAAAATATGTTTGCATGACGTTAATTTGATGTGCAATTATGAATATACAGTAATTATTCAGTCAGTAAGTCAAATCACAATCAATTGTACTTCATTTGTTAAGGTTGACAGTGTTACATTGTAGTAAGAAGAAATGTAATGCCACATTATTATCAGCACTAGGGTTAGAAGGGGTGGTAACCAGCTCTCTTGGTGTTGTTAATTTCCCTACTCCCCAAATCTACTTATTTCCAGTTTCTATCTCATATTCAAAAGCAGCAGAAGAAAGAAACCTTTCTCAATTTAGTTCAGACAAGTGGTGCTATAGTTAAGTTTTGTAAACATTATAAATTATGGGTACCAATTGTGATTAAGTCACTGTCATGGTTACATGGACTGATTTCAGACATGTAATAAATCAGTCTTAATTCAGATCATGTAAAGAAATTAAAGCCCAATATTCTTTGTTTATGTCAATGTCCTGAAATGGTTTCTGATATAACTCTGATAATGCTTGACTATGATTTCAAATATTTTTGATGAGTTGTGCTAGTGATCATTAATTTTATCCAGAACACTATATGTTGGAGGATTTCTGTGGAAGTTTATGGCCAAAGAGGAAAAGAGACATCTTTGGTTGATATTTGGATGTTGAATGTATTGTAATCTTTAATATCTTAATGTTCTATTTCAGAGTAAATGGATTAGCATGATATTTTCCATGAACTAAAACAGTTCCATGTCTTGTTTGGTAAGCACATATTTGTTTTAATGTTTGAAATCTAGCAGGTGTTAATATATAAATAATCTACATGTTGGAAATATAATAAAGAGGTACAAAGAGAATAAAATTACTTTGTCCATTGTGGAGCATTGCAGAGAGAGGGTCAGAATTCTGGCTCATTTTCCAGTCAAAGCTTTTAAATAGAACCTTCTTTGAACTGTAAAACATAGCCCAAAATTGTGGTTTAATGCCTCCTCTTACACCTTAATATATATTAATATATATATTACATCTTAATATGATGTTCAGGTTCAGGCCCCACAGCAAGTTGTTGATGAACATTATCCCAAACTAAAGATTACAGGGATAAAATTAATAATTGGAATGGCCGTTTTACAGGGTAATAAAAAGGGGGTTACTTGGATGACTAAATTCAGCTTCTCTCTTATTTATCTAGCTTTGAATTCAGAGAACTATACTGTACTTAATTTTGAAAAAGTGAATTTAATCATGATTTTTCAAAATGGACTCTTAGATGTCCCTAAACCCACTGAGATGACATTATTTGGAAAGGATTCATTTCTTATTGTGTACAGTGTCTACATTAATTCGTTATTACTATGCACTGAGGTTGCAGTTTCATATCATAACAGATGAGTATAGATTAGTGAGTTACATTTTAAAGGCTTTATTTTTCTACTTTCAAATATCTTTGTAGGACTGTTCCTGTATTCTACGGACACGAGTTGAATCAATTAGAGTAGAAAAGCAATCGGAAAGCATCAGTAATCAAGGCTTGGTAAGAGAAAATTCATCTTACCTTAGCAGAACTAGTATTACGTTTTCTATCATAATCGTGTTTACACTTGTGTTAAAATGTATACTTCCTGCTGGCTTCCAAAAAACAAATTAGTGGGGAACCCAGCAGGAAGATGCAAGTCCCAGAGACTCGCAAGCAGACTGGCAGGTGTGTAAATCACTGTTGCCAGGTGGGAGAGGATATGTGAGTGATAGCAGCAGCACACTGAAATAATTTGGGGCCGGGAAATGGTTGTTGCAGGATGGGGAAGACTTGAGTGACTTGCGACCTTTTCTCCTGGCTTCCCCTTTGATTTTGTTTAGGGAAGCCAGCAGGGAAAGTCATAAATGGTGATCACATGACTGCTGGGCACTGCAACAACACTGCAAGTGCAAGCTGGTTGCCAGATTTCAATCATAAGACTGCGTGGATGTTGTGATGGTTGTAACCTTGAGGACAGTTGTAAATACCACACATTTAGCACCCTTGCAACTTGAAACAATCACTGAATGAGTGGTCAGTAAGTGAGAACTATCTGTATATATTAGAGAATTGGAATTACGTACCAAATACATTTTTTGTCCTCTAGCGCAGGGATGTCAAAGTCTTATTTCATTGAGGGCCTCATCAGAGTTGTGTTTGACCTCGAAGGGCTGGGGGGGCATGGGGGTGGCCAGGGTGGGCGTGACATGGAACTCGTGTCTGGGGGAGGCACCTGTAGTGGCCAAGTGCTAAGGCAGGACTTCCCTCAGACTCTCCCTCATTACACTCATCCCTCCCTCCCTCCCTTTTCTTCTTTTTCCTTTCATCTTCATTCTAACTTCTTCCTTCCCTTCTTTCCTTCTTTTTTCTTCCTTGCTCTCTTCCATCTTTTCTTCTTTTTCTTTTTCTTTCTTCTTTCCCTTTCTTCTTTCCTGCCCCTTCTTGCATGCTCAAATGCAAAAGGGGAAACATTTCTCCCTTTGTTTTGTTTTTAGTTTTGATAGCCCTCTGTCAGCCAAAACATTTTTGGCCTGGATGGCCTCCTGCAGCACTCTGGCAGCCAAAATGGGGCACAGGAGATCGATGTTAGACAATTTGAAATAAGAATGAACCCAGGATATGATTTTCTGAATAGACTCAAAAGAGAAAAAGTGAGTTGAGAAGTAAAAGTCACAGCAGTAGGATGCAGAGGAAACCCCAGAGGAAGAAAGAAAAGGAGACTTAGCCCAGAAAAGGCAGCCAAGGGAACTGCCCAAGCAAGGAAAGAAACCCTTCTGGCTATAGGAAAAAATGACAATGGATGCAAGCTAGAAGGTGCAGTTGAAAAGTTGGGGTTAGAAAAAGGCTGAATGAGGGAAAGGAAAGAAATGCTGCTAAGGAGAAGATCATCTTGCCTTGACTAGTTGTAGGCAAAATTCAGATAGATTAAAGCTGCCTAAAGTTGAGTCTGTGTAGCCTCAAGGATCCCTTCTGTTGTCCTCTGTGCCACCAAAACAGAAGTCTTCCAGTCCTCTCAATGAGTGTCAGTGAAACAAAATTAAGGGTCAAAATTTCCCAACTCAGAAACCTCTTGAACCTGCCAGAACAAAGAATTATGTCGTGCCCAATTTTTTTTTTTTTTGTTTGAAAAAATGCTTTCCTGACCAGTTCTTTTTCTTCTGATTGCTGCTTGTGTTCCCAACTATTTTCTTTCCCAACTGTTTTCCTGCAGCACTTTGGCAGCCGAAACGGGGGGGGGAGGAGAGGGGGAGGCTGTGTGATGCCCCCCCATACCCCATTTTAGCTAATAGAAGCATTGCGGGCCGGTCCTTTGCAATTTCCAGGCTGGCCCTGTGGGCCAGATCTAAGTACCCTGTGGGCTGGATCCGCCCCGCAGGCCTTGAGTTTGACACCCCTGCTCTAGAGTATATGGTAGCACTTTAGATAGGACATATTGTTTAGTATTTTGGTTTTAAAGTACTTACATTATATAATATTTTTAGTGAAAATGAATGTCTGGCTTTTTCATGGATTGATTGATATAGAGAAATGTGTACCTTATCTGATCAGCCACATAGGGTTTTTTTAGAAATTAAATACATTCAACTTGATAAAAAAAATTATACCCCAATTAAAGAAGTTCTTTCCATCAAAAACCAGGCAAAATTAAAAACCACTTGGCACTTTTGAAATGATATACAGACAGGAATGTTGGAAGATTTTCAAAATTTATGTGAAATGACTCCATTTTAAACAATAAAGATTAATATTTTTCCTATTCAGACAGATGAATTTGCTGTATGTTGGGGCCAATCAACCCAAAGAGGAGATGAACAGATACCATTGTCCTCTGATGTATCACACTATGATCTCCAGGTGGAGATAGGTGATTGTTTTGTGATGGAAAGATGTTCCTATTTTGTCTTAAGTGAGAGATCTTTAGTTTATACTTGAACCGAAGATATGGATTAGAAATTTTACCCTTTGCCATCCCCTGCCAATAGGTCTGAGATATATATTAGTTTTATCTTTATTAATGCTTGCTTGTATTTTATAACCTATTTCCATTTAACTTCTTGTCTTGCCTTTGATTCAGTAAGTCTTGATATTTATAACATTTATAACATCCCATGGTTACATGACCTTCAAAGCTGGTTTCTGGCAAGCAGAGTCAATGGGGAAACCAGCAGGAAGTTGCAAGTTGCAATCTCATGACATTGTGCTTAATTACTGGGAATGATTCACTTAACAATTGCAGTGGAATTGATATAATAAGTCTGATGTGACCGTGTGATGTTTCACTTAATGACTATTGCCAATAGTTGCCAGTCCCAATTGTAATAATTAAATGACTACCTGTAATCTTTTTAAAACAAGATCGTTTCAACTATGAAAGCTTTCAGAATCAGATTCTTGTGTTCTGGTTCACATCAGATATTTATGTTTGCTTTGAAAGGTGTTCTTTTTCACAATTGTTAAGAGTTTGTGAGTCATAAGAACATTTTGTTTATTTATTTACTTTATTTGTATACCATCCATTCCAAAATATTATTAGTTAATTAATTAGAATTTAAGTGGTATATTCCTGTTACTTTGTAGGAAAAGGATACAACAACTTAACTTCAATCTACCTCGCCCGTCATATCCCGACAGGAACACTGGTGGCTGTAAGAATCACAGATCTGGAAAGATGTTCTGAAGAACTCTTAAACGCTTTACAAGTAAACATGATTTTAAACTTGATATATAATGCTTGCAAGGTTATATAAGTTGAGACTTTTACCTATATCCCCATATTCTTAGTAATTCTATATATGCAAAGAAATTTGGAAATCTGCTGACAGAGAATTAGTTATAGCTTTCTCAAGTAATTTCAGTTTTATATTTTTGACATTGAAATGAGCCACCTATTTTTTTTTCTGATTCAGGGATTGTTTTCAGATCATTCGTGCCACACACATAGTCTCCTATAGCTAAAACAGCATGGAATATTTCCCGTCTTTTAGATTATTAAAACATTTCTTTCCTCCTTTAGAATGAAGTGATATTATCCCACTTTTTTCGACATCCAAATATCTTGACTTTTTGGGCAGTGTTTACTGCTGGAAGAATGCTTTGGGTTATTTCTCCTTTCATGGCTTACCGTAAGTAACTGTTTACAAAAATATATCCTTATTTATTAAATTCTTTCTGCACATGCAGAGCAATTCAGCTTATTGGTACCTAGTTTGTGGAATCTTTTGTACTTCCAAGTGGGATAATTACTTAAAGAGGAAACAATTGGGACTATTTTTTGAAACAGAATTGCTTCAGTTGTGGGCTTTAGAGGCCAGTGCTAATGTGCTTCTTTGATCATGTACATCTATATTCTGCCCAGGAGTTCTTCCTGAGCTTTTTTTTTTAACATTGCAAAAGTTCAATGAATTTGATCATCCTAATTATGGTAGAAAATATCTGGGCCAGCTCTGACCTTCCTATATTATAAGGATATTATGAGGAGTTACTACTAAACCTTGGGCTCTTCTTTCTAGATTCAGCCAGTTGTCTCTTGAGGAGTTACTTCCCTGAAGGCATGAGTGAAGCTTTGATAGGAAATATCCTCTTTGGTGCAGTTAATGGATTGAACTATATGCATCAACATGGTTATATTCACAGGTAATATGGAAGAACTTCATTGCAATCCATCCAAAGATTTCAGCTGAAGCTTGAAAAGTTATGTGATTATTTTATTTTATCTATTTTCTTTTAGTATCATTCTCTGATTAAGATGTATATCCTTACCAAGTATAACAATTTATGTTTTCATTTCTTATTCTCAGAGGGAATTCCAAAATGCTTTAAAATATATTAAACCTCCACAGATATTTCTATTATTTTAATATATCATGTTTTGAGTATATTACAATATGAATATTTAATTTCTGGTACAAGGCATTTTCTGATGAATGCATGAGCTCATTAAGGGTTCCTTCCCTTGGCCTCTAATTGCTAACTCCTAAATTTTAAGAAATATTTGAAGTTTCTAAATACATTGTGAAGAAATGGTACAACAAGAGACAGGACAAAAGGAAAACTTGATCTATCTATAGGACCTCTTGTGTATAGCTAAATTGATCTCTTTGAATTATTACCACAATTGTTTACAGTGAAGTAATTTGGACGTGTTCTATACATTGTGACTTCTACTGCATAAGGTCCTAAGTTACCTTACATTATAGAGTTCTTTTAGTACATACCCTCAGGTATAAAGTGAGTATGTTGAGACAGCAAGATCTCTATATAGTTTTGTGGAAAACGTACAAATAAAAAGCATATAATACAATACTTATAGCCTTATTAAAATTAGAACATGCAATATTGTTTAAATATGCTTTTTAAAAAAAGGGAGTGAGTAATCAAGCTACGGTAATTTTGCTATCAAATATTTAGACTCAAAATCTGATTGGGGGAGGAGGGAAGAGAATTAGAAAAAATGTGAAAAAATGGGTCACATTAACCTAGAATAATTCTCTTATGTTGCACTGACCAAGGGATTACTCACACACATTTCACATTGTGGGATTTTTAAAAATCTACCTCCGTCCTAGAAACATTGAGGGCTATAAGCTGGTAATGGCTGGCTACCATATAAATAGCTCATGAACCTTTTCTGTTTTGCTCTAGCGTAGCCCACAGAGGAAACCATCCAGTCTCTCTCCATTTTCTTTCAGTGCATGTAACTATAAACTGAACTGTTGGGTGTTTAGTTAGGGAGGCTTTGTGGGATGAATCCAGCCCACAAGCCAGTTTATCATCCCAGGCTTGCAGAGAAGTAGAATGAGAAAGAGTTATACCTTCTTGGGCTGAGGCCTATTTAATGCATCATTTGAAATTGTCACTTCAAATCAAGGCATCTTTTATATTGTGAGCATCTTTGCTAGATACATCTTCACAGACTCAGATCTGCTATTTATTAGTCAAGTAATTCTTAACTAAATTCAAGAATGACTCAAGCAAGAACAGCATCAAGTTTAACGTAAGCAGTATGCCTCAATTCTCTTTCTGATGCAATAAAGAATAGCATAACCTTTACGCTATAGAAAAGCTTATAGCTATTAAAAAGAATCAAATCTACATAAGTGATGTATCAGAATCTTAATATGTATTTAATAGGATAGTCTTTCTAACAAGATAATTGGGGTTTTATTAATTAATTTGTTTGTTTGCATTTCAGAAGTATTAAAGCTAGCCACATATTGATTTCAGGGGATGGCCTAGTTTATTTGTCGGGCTTAAATCACCTCTATAGTTTAGTCAGCAGTGGACAACAGTTAAAAGCTGTGTATGATTTCCCCCAGTTCAGTACATCTATGCTTCCTTGGCTGAGTCCTGAACTACTAAGGCAGGTCAGTATATATTAGATTGCATTGTGGAAGTGCTTTCCTGCTATATATACTGCCTCAGAAATTTATTAAATATTTAAATTCTGCACCCTAGAAATTAATCTTAATTATGTTATGTTTACATTCTTTACAATTTTTTAAATATTGGCATTTAATGTTTTATCTAAAACTACGTATGCACTATGAATTTTGATGCATTACAGATATACTGTGATTCCAAGATGTATATTCCATATAGTTTAAAATGGTATCTCTGAATCCATATAGTCCCATATACAATTACCTTTGCCAAATTATTGCTGAAAATCAGGAAGCCTGTTGTTATATGTACATAGTAAAGTAATTGTTTTTAATTCCTCTATTTCTGTTGACAAATATATTTTTAGCATTTCTTTCCAGTAGAATTTAATTTCCAGTATTCTGGAAAATAAATAAATTTGTTGTAATAGTTAAGATGGTCATAAACCCCCTCCAGCTTTCTTTGAAAGGACATTGTATAAATAGTTAAACACTATCATCATCATATTAAGATTCTTCTATTCAAACTCAAGGCCTGGAGGCCGGATCCAGCCCGTGAGATGATTACATTTGATCCCTGGGGCTGCCCTGGAAACAGCAAGGGACCAGCCCATGGTGCCTCTGCCAGCAAAAATGGCACTCAGGAGGGCCGCATGGCTCTGGGGGGACACGGATGGCCCACCCGAGCTCTGTTTCTGCTGACAGAGGGCTGCAGAAGACTGTTGTGGCTGAAAACGGAGATCGGGAGCCTGTTTTCACTGGCAGAGCACTTAGGCCACCACAGGCACCCCCACCATGAGTGACGTCAAGCTGGTCATGCCCATCCAGGCTACACCCAACCCAGCCCCTGAGGTCAAACACAACCCTGATGCGGCCCCCAATGAAATTGAGTTTGACACCTCTGTTCTATCCAAAGATTTCAAATATATTTCCATTATTTCTTTTTCCTTTTCATCATATAATATATGGAAGAAGTTCCCATTTAAAATAGGTGCTTTCCATAGGATCTGTGTATATTCATTTATACATTTTAAACATCTAATATAAGATGCCATACAAATGGGCATACATATAAATCATCTCCCCTTTTAAATGTAAATTTTAATTTGTTTTTAAATTATTGGGTATTTTAAGTTTGTCTCAGCCAAATTATTTAATTTGTTTTTATTCTATTTTAAATTTTTGTATTTATGTGTTTTATTCTGTGGCTGTTCACCGCCCTGAGTCCTTCGGGAGTAGGGTGGTATAGAAATCCAATAAAATAAATAAATAAATAAATAAATAAATAAATAAATAAGTACACACACATATATAAATGTAAAATACTCTGCCTGAATCAATCCACTTCTGGATGAAGTCCTCTTCACTGAAAGTTTTACATTGCAATATATGTAGTATATTGGTCCAGTTGTGGATTGATAGATATTTTTAAATGTTTTCCTATTTATGAAAATACTTCATCTGAATGGAGCATTCTCCTTACTTGTAGCCCAACACACATTGTCAACATTTGTTCCAGATTTGGGGAGAATGGACTATTATTTTAAAAGACGAAAATGAAAGAAATTAAAATAGTTGACTACTGTACAACCTAATTGTATACTTCAGAGGTATATCTTTTTATTTAAGTTAGTAGAGTAACTTATTCCATATGTACAAATAATAGAACTGTACATGGCGTGTTTAAATATTTCTCATCCATTTCCTAATGTACATTGACAGCCTTTGAACAAATGAATTTGCCTGATAAGTGTTTTCTTCTATAGGATATGCATGGATATAATGTGAAATCTGACATCTACAGTGTGGGCATTACAGCTTGTGAACTAGCTAATGGGCATGTACCTTTTCAGGATATGCCTCGCACACAGGTATTGACTAACTATTATTTTCCAGAGCATAAGACATCTCTTAATTTTGAATTTTTATGTACTTAGTGTTTCAATTATCTAAGAATTAGATTCAATTCTCTTAAGAAGTATAATGCTGACTGATTTGGTTGGATGAAATGATTTCTTATTTAAGTTCACTAAATACTTGGTTCATGCAAAGATCACTCCATGAAGCATTGTTCTAAGCATTTGTTAAATAGCCCTTCTTTGGCAGCAAAACAGTATGTCCCTTACCAATGGAACAGCTTGCCTACCAGTGGAACAGTTTGCCTTCAGAGGTTGTGGATGCTTCATGACTGGAGGTCTTTAAGAAGACACTGGACAGCCACTTGTCTGAAATGGTTTAGGGTCTCCTGCTTGAGCAGGGGGTTGGACTAAAAGACCTCCAACGTCCCTTCCAGCTCTATGATTGACTTGAGTTTAATTCCCAATGAATACTGAATTGTAGGAAAAACTTGCATGTTTTATAACTTTCCGATAAATACTTTTGCAAAACTTTATTATTTAATGCAGCCACAATGTACTTGGACATTTTGCATTCATTTAGTCATGGTGTTTCTCTGACACTGTTGCAAAGTGACTCCAGTATTTTCTGTATCTTTCTACCAGATGCTGCTGCAAAAACTTAAAGGTCCGTCTTACTGTCCTTGGGCTATAAACACTTTTTCATGTGGAGAATCTAGGATAAAAAATTCTCAGTCAGGAATTGATTCTGGAATTGGGGAAAGCATGACACGCACGATGACAAGTGAGAGACTACAGACTCCACCTAAAACTTTCTCTCCTGCTTTCCATAATTTGATAGAATTGTGTTTGCACCAGGACCCAGAACAAAGGTAATGCTTTAAAATAATGTGCAAATTTGAGTTTAATTATTTTTAAACTGAAATTAGACTGTTTTGAAAGCCTGGTTTATATATATGTAAATCATACAGTATTACCAAATTATAATTGTCAGCAGGACATCCATGATTATTCATAATTATCAGAAGACCCATAGTATCCCCAGATGGCAACCAAAAAATAAAAATAAAAAAAATTAAAGCAAATTTTTAAAATGTCTGAAATTTCATGAAATTATCAAATTTTGAAATATTTTACTATTCTCATATAAGTGTTCAGACATTTTTAAAAGTCATTTTTACAGATGTAATCGCAAGTTGTTGTTTTTTCCATGCTAAGATACCTGAGCCCTTAAGGAGTAATATATGAAAAAATATATGAGTAAATGATTTAACCTGCCCCTTTTGTTCCCCATGTTAAGAAGAATTAATGAGAGATGGAAAGAAATATTTAGATGAACATTTAGAGAGGAACATTTTTTCTACTCATGACATATGTTGCTCCTTAAGTATATTAAACTGTATCTTTATTAAGACAGTAATATTTATGTTTTAGTATGTACTGCTCTGTCAGTTAAAAGATGGTTGATAAAATCATTTTTAATTAATGTTACAAATTTGAAACTTCATATTTAAAGACCTTGAAAAATATATTTGCAGTATTCTATTTTTAAACTATTAATCTATTGTAGCAAGGATATGTGGATGGAATAATTAAAGTGGGAAAAATACTGATTCTTTTTTCAATCAACTGATTTTGCTAAAAATTGCAAGAGAGGGGAAGTAATTACCAGCTGTTTGCAAAAATTAAAAATCTAATCTGTTGTTTCCTTCTGGGATATAGGCCATCAGCAAGAGGCCTTCTGTCACATGCTTTTTTCAAGCAGGTGAGTTTGTTATACATTTTGTTAGATATTCTAGCTACATAATATCACTGAGTCTTTGGGTCTAGAAAACAAATCAGATGTTGGAAGCTGCAATATCTTTGATTTGAACAGGAGATAACTATTTGGAGCAGTTTAATATATAAATTTATGCACTGGTGAAATAATGTATTATGTGATTTCTGCAAGTGTGATTTGTGTAATAGGCATTGTCCATTTATAAGTCCTGTTTGAGATTAAGGTGTTGGCTTTCTTTTTGATTTGTGATTTTGATTGGTTATAGAACTGCAACTTATTTGTTCCAGTTCTTAGTTTTATTTTAAAGAACTCATAATATCATATCTATGGTAGGCAATACTTATATTTGCTTGCCTTGCCCCACCCATAGAACTGAGATAGCTGTTGGCATAAACACAGCTATTTTATAGAGCCAGCAATGCTTTTTTCCTTTTGAAAAAAGTAGTTGGGAAAATTCCTTTCCTTGCCCAGTCCCCTCTCCATTATATATGCGTAGTTCAGATATCTACTGTTAGGATGTTACTCTGTACATTTTGTTCAAAGTAAGAGTTTCCTTTTCACCTCTCAACGTGAAAAAAACCACCTTTTTTAGCAATTAAGAACAATATAGGAAGTATATCTTCTGCAGTATGGATTCATTTGTATCTTTCTGCATAAATGAATTACAATTAATATTCTGTCTTTCACTCCAGGGCTCAAGGCAGCCTATGTAACACTTTTACCTCTATTTTTCAATAAATGTAATTATTTGCATTCAGGGGAAGGGAGGTGAGCATAAACTGTTGACTAAAGCAGTGATTCTTATATTATTTGACCCAATTACTGATTTTCCTTTTTTTTTTTTTTTAATTTCTTATTTAATTTACTAACATTACAAACAACATATACAATATTTCACCCTGTGCTATACATAAGAAAGGAAGATTTGGTTCTTCGGATATATCCTCATGATCGCCAAAATCCACGTTCTCGGGGTACAGGTACCGAAGCATCCAATTTTCCCAGCGCATAGTCCACAAATGGTTTCCAAATTTTCCAGAAAATATCTTCTTTATAGTCACCATTTCTAATTTTAATATCACATGTCATTTTATCATTTAAAGCTAATTTCCACATTTCACAATACCATTCTTCTATTCTAAAATTCACATCTAATTTCCAATATCTGGCTATTATAATTCTACCCACTATAATCATAATTCTAATCAATTCCTTCTCATATTTTGTTGGTTCTATTTCCTTAATTATCAACAGTAATATAGTTTCTGGTCTCAATATTATTGCTTTCCCCATCATTTCAAATATCATTTCCTCCAATTGTTGCCAAAACTTTTTAACTTTATCACATTTGTACCACATATGTTCATAAGTCCCTAATTCCATATCACATCTCCAGCATTGTTTACTAATTTTTTTATCCCTCAGTGACAATCTTAATGGAGTCAAATACCATTTCCAAACAACCTTATAATTATGCTCTTTAATCCTTACAGATAAAGTCTTCATAATTCTACTCTTCCAATTCACGTTCCAATCTAAATCTGATATTTTAATATTAAGTTCTTTTTCCCAATTCATCTTCATCACCCTTTGTGGTTTTCCATCAAAATTTATAATCTTATATATCTTACTAACGAGTCCCTTTAGCCCAATTTCATCTTTCATAATTTGGAATACTAAATATTCAAATTCAGTTTTACTTCTACTTATCGAACAATTGTCCCTTACCTTTTTAGTCCATTTTTCTATCTGTATTTTTTCAAACCAGCTTAAACCCAATTTTTCAATGATTTCTTTTTTCCTCCTTTCATTTTCTGAAGTTTTTAACCAATCTATTATAGTTTGTATATTTTCATCTTCCATTACCCTATCACGACTTATATTAGTTTTAATCGGCCAATTTTCAATTGTCTTCCCTAAGAAAATTATATCTGGAATTAAAATTTTAACAAATTTGTTCAAAATTTTACTCAGTCCCTTTAACCAATAGCTATTAATTACACATTTTGATTTTGCTTTATCTAAAAACCATGTTGAGCCAAATCTCTTGATGTCCTTTAATTCTAAATCTCTCCAATGACTATCTTCACCTTTAAATATTTTTACCACAGTCCGAATAGCATAAGCCCAATAATAATTGAGTAGTTTGGGGATTCCTAATCCACCTTCCTTTTGATTTTGATACCACATTTTCTTCACTAATCTAGGTCTTTTCCCACCATTACAAAATTTATCCAATTTCTTCTGATATCCTTCAATATCTTTCTCTGTCAAGTTTAACGGTAACATCTCAAATAAAAAAATTAAACTTTGGCAACAACATCATCTTACACATTACAATTCTACCAAACCAAGACAACTTTATCATTTTATATTTATCTATCTTTTTCTCAATTTCATTCATCACCACATCATAATTTAATTTTTTCATTTCTTTAACTTTGAGTGAAAGTGTTATGCCCAAATATTTCAATGTTTTTTTAATCCTTATCCCAAGTTGTTCTTGCATATTCTCCCACTCCTTACCATTATTATTCATTAATAATTCAGATTTTGACCAATTTATTTTCAAACCTGTCATTTCCTCAAATTCTTCCAAATGCTTATGTATCTTTTTCAAATCTTTCTCTATATCTTTCAAAATAATCAAAGTATCATCCACATACAGATTTATCTTATATCCCTTATACCCTTCCAATTCTTCATCTTTTTCTATCATTTTAGTCAAAATTTCCATAACTAATAAAAATAATGTTGGAGACAGGGGACATCCTTGTCTTGTACCTGCTTCCAATCTTATCTCTTCTGTCAGCCTTCCATTCACCTTCACTCTTGCACTACTTTTTTGATACAGTTTTGAAATAACATGTATAAACTTATTACCAAAACCTAGTACCTCAACAATTGTTTTAATAGTTTCCCATTGTACAGAGTCAAAAGCTTTGAAAATATCTAATGATATTATACCTATTTTATCAGCATTATATTCACAACATCTATAATATTTAATACTCTTCTGACAATATCACTCATGTATCTACCCTTCACAAAACCTACTTGGTTATAACTTATATATCTATCTATAAATCTACTTAATCTATTATTTATAATGGCAGTAAATATCTTTGCATCTTGATTAATTAAAGAGATGGGCCGATAGGACTCAATCCTTTCTAAGTCTTTATCTGGTTTAGGGATTATAGATATCACCGTTCTGTTCCATGACAACGGAATTTCTCCACCATGTAAAATTCCGTTAAATAGTTTTTGCAATTTTGGTATTATTATTTCCTTAAATTCTTTATAAAACTCAGCAGGTAATCCATCTTCACCTGGAGCTTTCCCTAATTTTATTTTTTGTATTACTCCATTAATCTCGTCTTGTGTTATATCTTCTTCCATTAAATCTTTATATGTTTGGTCAATTTTCACAACATGTTTTTCTAAATAGCTTCTCAGTTTTCCCCGATCAATTAATTTTTTCGAATATAAATTTTGAAAAAAGTTCCTGACCACTTCACATTTTTCTAATTTTTTATAGCGTCTTATACCCTTATCATCTATCAAGGCTCCAATTTCTCTCTTCTCTCTTTTATTTTTCGCCATCCTTGCCAATAACTTAGAGTTTTTATTGCTAAATTCAAAAAAATTCCTATTTAAATATCTCATATTCTTTTTTACCAATTCTATATCTTCTTCTATCAATTTATTTTTTAGCAAATTTAATTCCTCCAAAAAAAAATTTTCTTTAGCAAGCAAAAATTGATTTTCCAATTCTTTAATCTGGCTTTTATCTTTTTCAATTTTATTTTTATAATTTTTATATTTTCTGCTTGATAACTTGATACTTTCCCCTCTAAACACTGCTTTCATCGCATCCCAAACAATTTCAAATTTAACCTCTCCATTATCATTCAATCTCCAACATTCTTCCCATTTTTTAAATATCCATTTTTTATCCTCCTCATTTTTATACAGTTTTTCATCATATCTCCAACAACTTCCTTTTTTCTCAAAATTAAAATCTATTTCCATCGTAACTTCTGCATGATCAGAATCCTTAAAAATTCCCACATCTATCTTATCCACATTATTCAACAAATCTTTAGAAACTAAGATATAGTCAATTCTTGAATATGTATTATGTATCTTAGAGTAAAAAGTGTACACTCTTTCAGTTCCTTTCACTTCTCTCCAGACATCCACCACGCCGTTTTGAAACATCCATTTATTTAAGGTCCCCATTTTATTTGCTCCTCCACAACGAGTGGGGTTAGTACTATCTATTTTATCTCTAATTAAATTAAAATCCCCAGCCACAATTACTTTCCCTACACTTTCGATTTCCAAAATTTTAGTTATTTTTTCAAGAAATTCTTTTTGCTTCTCATTTGGTAAATATAAATTAACCAGTGTCACTTTTTCCTCGTTAATATTTCCCACAATTATTACATATCTTCCTTCTTCATCCACAATTACTTGTTCTTTTTCAAAATATACCCTATCTGATATCAATGTAGCAACTCCTCTAGCTTTTGAAGTTCCAAAAGATTTTTCATAAATTTGCATACCCTTTATATACATTTTATTTGAGTCTTCAGATTTCTGATGGGTTTCTTGCAAAAATAATATATCTGGTAAATCTCTTTTAATTTTAAGTTCCAATCGTCTTCTCTTGATCTGATTCCCTGTACCCTTCACATTCCATGTCATTATTTTTATTAAACCCATTTAAACTGTAACTTTTTTAATCCTTTCCCCTCCTCTTCCTTTCCCAGATCCCAGCACCAATCTCCCACATTCCAAACAACATTCAACATAGAAGAAAAAAAACAATAAAAAAAACCAAAAAAGGACAAAAAAAACATCAAACATTGAATAACAAACAATCTTCGTCCCCCACATCCTCAATTGGTTTCCGCCTCTATAAAGAGAGTGGGGGAGAGGGGACATGCCAATGGTCGGGTCACTTCTTTCGGGTAGTCTACTTAAATTCATCTCTCAGAGAAAAGGTGGTAACTTCTCCCCGCACTCAGCTTCCTGCAATTCTTTTTCAAAATCCTTGAATTTCTTATCCGCTCCATCTCCCATTATATCATCACGACTTTTCTTTTGTTCAACCATCGCAGGTGAGATTTCCTTCCGCTTTAGTCCTTTAGGATCTTGTCCTCCAGCAGCCCCTTTTTCTTCTGGTGTTGATGTTTTTGCATATGTTCCACCCATCTTGAGCATTTGATCTTTTATCTCTGTTACGTCCTCATACTTTACAATCAATCCAAGTTCATGTAAGTATAACACTGCATCTGTTTCCAAAGTAATTATTTGCATTCTTCCTTTATAAAAAAAATTTAGTTGCTGTGGCGGTCTCCAGTTATATTTAATTCCATTGTCTCTCAGAACCTTTGTGATTGGTTTCAAAAAAAATCTCCACGCCCTTTCTTCTCTTGATATATCCGGAAAGACTTGAATAATTTTCTCCTCAAATTTCAAAGCTTCACCCATCTCTCTCACTTTCACCATCACTTCCAATTTGTCACTAAGATTTGCAAATCTGACAAGTACATTTCTATTTAAGCCGTTTTGTCTTTTAAACCCAATTCTAAAAACAATTGCCAGATTTGTTGCTGTAAATGTGATTTGTGTATCCCAAGTCATTGAGCCATTTTAAAACTCGTTGTTTCAAATTGTCCACTTTTTCTTCTTGAATTCCACGAATAACCAAATTATATTTCCTCGCTTCTTCTTCCAAAAGACAATTTTTTTTATCTTGTTGTTCATTTTTAAAAAAGATTTCTCCAATTTGCCGATCTATCTTTGCATCATGTGTATGAATCTGCTCAATTTCATCTTTAATTATTGTCATTTCTGCTGTTTGATTTTCCCTGTCTTGAATAATGTTATTACCCCCACAAAAAATGCCATACTCCATGGTTTTATACAAGAATCTTGGCAGTGGCAGATTCATTCTTGATTCAAAAACCAGTAATTACAAATTTCCTCATTATTCTGAGGATATTCCCAGATTATCCCCCAGTTTAAGAACCATTGGATTAAAGAATGGCCATTTTATCTGAATTTATAATGAAATTGCCATTGACCTATCTGTAAGAAGCCCTTGATTTCATAGTCTTTATTAGCAATCACTGTTTCTATGAGTTTAGTTAGTAGCAATAATTAACATTTGGGCAACAAGAACTTGCATTGTATTTCCATAAACTTCTGAGAAGGTATTCATAATTGTTTTAACAGATGTGTGATGTAAAGTCGTTATTCTAATGACTGCCTTCTTAATTTTCAGGTGAAAGAAGAAACAGAGGGGTCATTACTTTCACTCTTGCCTCCTGCCATCCAACGTAATCACTCACAAATACCAATGGTGCATTCAGCTGCCATCTGGAATAAATCTGAATGTAGATTGCCAAATGAGAAAAAGACATATTGGGAATTTTAGGAATACTAAGACCATACAGGTGGTCTTCAATTTACAACCATTCATTCAATGACCAAAGTTACAACAGAACTGAAAAAAGTGACTGATACTGGTCCTCACACTTGTAACCGTTGCAGCATCCTCATGGTCATGTGATTGCCATTTTCTAATGAGCTTTTGACAAGCAAAGTCAGTGGGGGAAGCCAGATAACCATGGTTGTTCATTTAACCACCATAGCAAAAAAAGATCATTAAATTGGGCCTTTTACTTAATAACTGCCTTGCTTAGCAATGGAAATTCTGGTCCTAATTGTGGTTGTAAGTCAAGGACTCCTATACTTCTTTGGAAAATAATATGATTTACTTGCTGCTTTTGTTCAATTAAAGTTTTTGTTTTGGTATACTTGAAAATGCTAAAGGCTTATACAGATGATGCTATACAGAGAATTTTTTTCAAAGTGGTATTATGAGAATTTACTTACCTTTACTAATTAAATTGCAGAAATATCTGTACAGTTCTTTACATCTTTGTTACATCTGAACTGTAATAGTATCCATTTATATAGTAAAACTTTGCTTGGAATGGCATATGCTTTTACAGTACTTATGTTCTATGTCTACCTTTCCAATATTAATTTGAAATATTGTTTCCATTCTTTATTTAATACATTGTTAATCATCTCTATCATCAAGTTTATATCAAATATATAACTTCTTTAAAATATAGTGTATTTTCCTACTTGCAATAAATGTCAATGTGGAAATCTCTCAGAGCGCTGGATATCTACTACATAACTTTCAGTGGTTGTTGAAGTAGCCAACACTGTAACTTGAAAAAAAAAAGCTGTTTTTAATGGAACATGTATCTTTGAGAAATCAAAGAAAAAATAATTTGTCAAATAGAAGCTTGAAATTACTTGACTATATACTTAAGAATATTGCTTAATTTTCATAGCTTTAATTGTGATCTGCTGTTCAGGAAAAATATTCATCCTTTAAATAAGTAGCCAAAATTTGAACCAAAATTTGTAGGATTAATATAAAAGAGACCTGTATTACTTGGGCAAATGACTATTAGCCTACTACGGCAAACTATATTGTGGAAGGCTTTGAGCTGTGTTCAGTGATGTCATTCTACTGAAATACAAGCATCTATCAATGGATTGTGATTCATAGCCCATTTCCTTTCCACTTCTTAGCTCCAGGGTCAGTGAAAGAACAGAGATCTGGTTAATGTTACTCTTAGGCTCAGGCATTTGAGAAAAAAAAATGTGACTTCCAAGTCATTTTGTCTTCGTAGCTTTGCTTTTCTTGAGAAGAGAAAGTTCAGTCCTAATTACAAACAGAAAATATAAAGGAACAGGAAAAAAGGCTGCTTTCTGTGAATAGTACTGTGAATAATTGAATAAAGTAAACCTAAATTCTTGTTACCTGTACAGCATACTTTTGGAGATGGTTTAATATTTTATTAATGATTTTTCAATAATGTACATTCTATTTACTCATGTAAAAATAGAAATTAGTTTTAAGTATACAATATTATTTAGCATCACAAGTGATCTTTTAACTAGGAAACTACTGAAGGAAAATTATGTATTATCAACCTAATTCTGACAAATTTAATTGTAATAAAATATTGAACAAAGATCATTTGAGTGACTGGCGCCTTATTTCATGCTCAACAATAAGAGAATATATAATGCTAGCATTGCTATTTAGAAGCCCTATTGTTTTAGACAGATTGTCAAATAAGCATGATTAGAATAATACCCTAGAACTATTTTGAGACCAGTAACTAATTTTGTGTGTAGCAAGATAGTACAAACAAGTTAATCTAGAGAAAATTGCACTGTATTTGTCAGGAGGTTTTAAAGCAAATAATACATAAAGAATCTGGTGAAAAAATTACCAGTGTTTTTTGCTCTATCAAGAAATGTCTATCCTTACGAGGAATAAACCATGATGATTTGTACTTATAAAGATACTTTGGAACTTTGAATTCTCACTTGTACTGGAGACAGCATCCAGGAATAGGAATGGATTGTCCTCGTCTGCTAGCCAATAGAACTAAGACTGTCAAAGCTGCAAGAACACGCCTACACCAATGGTCTCCAGCTTTTGTCTCAGTCCTAGCTGTGGACAGACGTGTTTTTGCGTAGGTCAACCGATTTCTGGATACCTTTGTTATTTTCCTTGATTGTGAATTTCCTTGTGGCAGCTATATCACCACCGTGCAGCTGTGCCACCAACTATTCCAGTGTGAAGTGCTTTTAGCATAAGCCCGCTGAAGGCCGCGCTGCGGCAAGTCAGGCCACCAGAGGGTGGTCCCTGACTGGGCAGCCAGTTGAGCTTGCTCGCAGACGCTATCCCTTGAGCCTTCGGCTTCAAGGCTCTTTCAGATTCCGGCGCAGTGGGAAGCTTTGTGCTCCGCTTTGCGCCGAAGGGCGGCTGGGCACCACGAGAGCTGTCAAACAAGCCATTGAACTTGCTGCAGAGTCCCTGCCCGATTGTGGGCACATTTGTTTCGCCCCGCCAGCAGTCTTTGAGGATTAAGGGGTTCGTTTCCCAAGCCTCTGCTCGCTCGTGGGCACACTTGGAAGCCGCCGCAGCCGCAAGCAATGGAGCCTTTGATCCCAGCTGGTTTGCGGCTATCTCCAACATGGCGGACACGGCTCCCAGTACCAACGGAGAACCCGCTTTTCAAAAATCTGACTAAGGAAATGGGAGAGGCACCCAGGCAGGGAGCTGGCACTGCAGAGACCTCGGGATTGAGGTCTGCAAGCAGGAGGGCAGCAGCTAAGCTCACTAAGAGGTCTAGGAAAGCCGCAACGCCCTCAAGTGACAGAGAAGGATGAGGCAAGGCGCCAAAGGGCAATTGAGCAAGAGATGGTCAAGGTATTGGGGGGTGCAGGCATAGGTCTTCCTCGGAGCCAAGCAGCACCCTCTTCCCGCCATAATCCGATGAGGCCATTAATTCTGACTGGAGATTCTGTCAGCCGGCCCATTCAGTCCATGTCACCAGATGGTGCTGCTGAGCAGGCTTTGGCAAGCAATCTGCCTAGCAATAGGGATTCTCTGTTTAGCTCCCTCACAGATCGATTTTCTGCCTTAACAGTATGGCAACAGCCTGTCAGACACAGATCTTCACCTGCAGAGGTGACATTTACCCCGATTGCAGCTGGAATCAGCAACAAGGCCACCTTCCACCTGGCATGGAGGCCATTATATCTGAAGCCATTGAGAGGGGCATAGCAGCTGGATTGCAGCACAGCCACAGCCACAGGGAGGCTTCCCGTGTATCAGACTACTCGATGTCTATTGATGTGCCCATTAAAGAGCGGGCTTCAGGGCAGTTAACACACTATCAGAGGTCTTACTCCCCAGTTTCCTCAGATCACTCTGGGTCTCAGGAGGACACGGATAGAGAGCTGGAGCTCTCAGGGGACGAGGGCTTATCCCCTGACCAGCCAGCCTTTGTTGGTCTTTTCCATCCTCGATTGTTTAAATCCTTATTGTATAAGACTTCTAGTAAAGCGCGCTTGGCAGGGCATCTGCCACCAGTAGACCTACCTCAGGATCCTGGGCATCCCAGCAGATCCTTGTTTTCTGAACCCAAGGCCAAGGCCGAGGCCGAGGTGGTTCCTGCTCCACCTGTGGTGCATAGGCAGTGGGCCACCCCAGGGACGGGCTAATCCTAGCACCCTGGATAGGAGGTTTTTCAACATGGCCCCAGACTTGTCACAGGTGCCAGCTGTGGATGATCCAATTGTGTCATTGGTGACTACATCTGTCATGATGGATGCCCCAGAGGAGGCCCTCAGGCCGGAGGACAGACTCGCTGAACAGTCTCTAAAAAAGGCTCATCAGTCAGCGGCATGGGCAGCAAAGGCCTCTATTTCAGCGTCCTTTTTCAACCAGGCCTCATTAATGTGGCTCAGACAATTATAGGACAAGATTCCCATGGCGGATGTGCGAGTTCTTCAGGACCTGAACAAGTTGTCTGCCGCTCTTGAATTCTCAACAGATGCAACACTTGGAGCAGTGAGGTTTGCCTCAAAAGCTATAGCCTCCTCTACAGCTTCCAGGCGTCTCCTCTTGCTCCGCCACTGGCAGGCGGACGCCAAGCAAAAGTGGTGGCTGGCCTCCACCCCATTCTCGGGGACACACCTGTTTGGAGAATCGCTGGAGCAGCTGTTTGTGGAGATGAAGGAGAAACGTAAGATCCTTCCATCTCTTTCCTGATGGGCAGACCCACGTCTTTCCTCATACTTCAAGCGCCAGTCTTTCCAGGGGCCTGATGGGGGAGTTGGTTTAGCTAGGCCCCAGCACCCATTCCAGCCTAGGCAAGACTAACAACAGGATAGGGCAGTCATCTGGCCTGTCATCAGCGCCTAGGGCTGTGATGGCGAACCTATGGCACGCGTGCCACAGGTGGCACGCGGAGCCATGTTGCCTGGCACACGCAGCATTGTCCATTCCTCTTCTGGGTTCGCACCCGAAGCTTAGCTCATCAGACTAGCTGGCCAGTGCGCATGCGTGCACCAGAAACTGAAAGTATGTTTCCCAGCACCCGCATGCCCACTGGGCAGCTCCTCTTACAATGTGTGCGAGGCTGAACTGTTGGCTGCTGTATTATTGGTCTCCTGCTGCTTGCCCAGACTACCCAGCCCAAGCCCAGCTGCTCTGCTCCTCGCCCTCTTGACTGCCATCACCTTCCTAATTTTTGGTAAGTTGCAGGTGGGCTGCTGCGGGGCGGAGGTTGGGGGGGACGGCAGGGTGCTGCCCAGGATCGAGGTGGGCTGCTTGGCGTGGTGGGCAGGCCTACCTGCATCGAGCGGCATCTTGTTGGTCTTGGGGTGGGTGTGTGCAGAGCCGGTGCAGATGAGAAGCAGAAAAGCCTTTCAGCAGGGAGACTACGGTACGAAGACCGTTTGGTGTGATCTGGGTGGGGGCGTGTCCTGTCTTATTCGGCTGCAGTTATTTTCCTTTCCAGACCACTTCAAAGCAAGTGGTGCACAAACTTCAGCTGTTCTTGTGCTGCCGCCTACACCTCTTTCTTGGAGCTGGTCTGGAAAGGAAAAGCTGCTGCCGAATTAGGCAGGACACGCCTCAATCAGATCCCTCGAAACAGTCTCCGTATGATAGTCTCCTTGCTGAAAGGCTTTCCTGCTTCTCATCTACACCGTACATTTGGTGCAATCTGGGTGGGGCGTGTCCTGCCTTATTCCTGCTTCTCCTCTACCAGCACCCAGTGGTGTCTTGTTGGTCTTGGGGTGTGTGTGTGTGTGTGTGTGTGTGCAGAGCCAGTGCAGATGAGAAGCAGAAAAGCCTTTCAGCGGGGAGACTACGGTACGAAGACCGTTTGGTGCGATCTGGGTGGGGCGTGTCCTGCCTAATTCCTGCTTCTCCTCTACCTGCACTCAGCGGTGTCTAATTGGTATTGGGGTATGTGTGTGTGTGCAGAGCCGGTGCAGATGAGAAGCAGAAAAGCCTTTCAGTGGAGAGACTACGGTACGAAGACAGTTTGGTGCAATCTGGGTGGGGCGTGTCCTGCCTAATTCCTGCTTCTCTACCTGCACTCAGCGGCGTCTAGTTGGTATAGGGGTATGTGTGTGTGTGCAGAGCCAGTGCAGATGAGAAGCAGAAAAGCCTTTCAGTGGAGAGACTACGGTATGAAGACCATTTGGTGCAATCTGGGTGGGGCGTGTCCTGCCTTATTCCTGCTTCTCCTCTACCTGCACCCAGTGGCGTCTTGTTGGTCTTGGTGTGTGTGTGTGTGTGTGTGTGTGTGTGTGTGTGTGTGTGCAGAGCTGGTGCAGATGGGAAGCAGAAAAGCCTTTCAGCGGGGAGGTTATGGTACGAAGACTGTTTGGTGTGATCTGGGCGGGGCCATGTCCTGCCTTATTCCTGCTTCTCCTCTACATGCATCCAGTGGTGTCTTGTTGGTCTTGCTGTGTGTGTGTGTGTGTGTGTGTGTGTGTGTGTGTGTGCAGAGCCAGTGTAGATGAGAAGCAGAAAAGCCTTTCAGCGGGGAGACTACGGTTTGAAGACTGTTTGGTGCAACCTGGGTGGGCGCGTGTCCTGCCTTATTCCTGCTTCTCTACCTGCACCCAGCGCTGCCACGAAACATATGGGCATCTCCCCAGTTGTCTTGCTGTGGGTGCCAGATGAGAGACAGGCAACAGCCAAAGCCATGTGTGTGAGTGATCGGGGAGCTCCTCTCCTCTTACAAGGATGCTGGGAGGGTTTGGATTATGCACTTCCCCACTCCTGGGGGGGGGGAATTGACGAGCTAAACATTTTTCCAAGGGAAAAGATGGGAGGGCTGGAGGGGGGGCAGGAAACCGATCCGAACTCTTTCCCTTCCCCTTTCTTTCTCCCAACCCCGCCAGCCACTCTTAGTTTACCCCTAGTGAGGCAGGGTATACACTCGGAGCTGGATCAGTTCACACCACCCAGTTTCAGCCAATGGCTCAGAGCAGCAGCTTTGCTTGAGGAGGAAGGGAAAGGATTGAGACAAGAAAGCTGGAGCTCTGGCAGTCTGTTACTCGATTAAACGTTTTTCCAAACTCGAAAGCAACTGAAGGGCAGGCTTCAAAAATCTTTTCAAAATCATCTCAAGTGTTCGCAGGCAGCCCACTCTAAGAG